GAGAGTAAAAGAGAGAGGAAAGAAAGCAAAAAAAGACAGAGAGAGAGAGAGAGAGAGAGAGAGAGAGAGAGAGAGAGATGATATCATCATTTTTTTGTTCAAGCATCATGATCATAAGGCCAAAGATTACACAAGAGAATATTTGCCAATAAATATTCTGCAGAGAGAAGGAACACATAGATTATATGAATATTATTGGTACACATATGAATTTTCATTCCATTTCATCATATTACATCCATTTCATCATCATCATCATTCAAACCAATAAATGATGAATAGAATCATAATAATAATAAATAATAATGATGATGATGATGATGATGATGACTAAAAACAAAAAATTAAGATCAAATATAAATATTATCAAATAGGGAGAGAGAAAAAGAGAGAAAGAATCACATTCATTTGAATAATTTTTCTGTCGTTTATTTATTCATATTATTATTATTATTTTGTTTTTTGTATCCATATTCTCTCTCTCTCTCTCTCTCTCTCTCTCTCTCTCTCTTTCTTTCTTTTACACAGTTTCTTCTCTGTTTTTTTTTCTCTCTCTATTCCAAATATATTATTTTTTTTTTTTTTTTTTTTTTATCCATATTCTCTCTCTCTCTCTCTCTCTCTCTCTCTCTCTCTTTCTTTCTTTTACACAGATTCTTCTCTGTTTTTTATTCTCTCGCTATTCCAAATATGATGCAGGATAATGTTATTCTATGAAAGAATATTTCTCTTCTGTAATACACACACACACACATAGTGCGCAAGTGCATTAAAGAATTTTATTATAGTTATAGTTTTTTTTTTGTTTTTGGTTTTTGTTTGTTTTCATTCAAATCATTTTCGATTCTTGTTTCAACACATTCATTCATTCATTCATTCAATCTTTATCATTTGGGATGATTTTTTTCCTAGTGTAATGACGTTGTTTGTTCGTTGTCTCTCTCTCTCTCTCTCTCTCTCTCTCTCTCTCTCTCTCTCTCTCTATCCCTCCTGTTCTTTCTTTTCCTTCTTTCTCTAG